ATGATCGTGAGCATTTCCTCATGTATCTGGTAGCCACCTGAATGTCTTCTTTGATGAAGTACCGGTTCATATTCTTTACCCATTTTTTAATTTTAATTGGGTTATTTGTCTTTTTGTTGTTGAGGTTTTGCAGTATCTTGTAAATTTTAGAGATTAGATGCTGATCGGATTTGTCGTAGCCAAAATTTTTTTCCCAGTCTGTAGGTTGTCTTTTAACTCTTTTGGTGAAGTCTTTTGATGAGCATAAGTGTTTGATTTTTTAGGAGCTCCCTGTTATCTAGTCTCTCTTCTGGTGCTTGTGCATTGTTACTTAGGGTTTGTATTCTGTTTATGTGACGTATTAGGACTCCTAGTGTTGTCCCTATTTTTTCTTCCATGATCTTTATCGTTTTTATTTTATATTAGGTCTTTGATCCATTTTGAGTTAGTTTTTGTGCATGGTGTGAGGTATGGGTCTTGTTTCATTTTTTTGCAGATGCATATCCAGTTATGCCAGCACCATTTATTAAAGAGACAGTCTTTTCCCCAACTAACGGACTTTGTCAAATAGCAGCTGCTCATAGGTGGATGAAGTTACATCTGGATTCTCAATTCTGTTCCATTGGTCTGTGTATCTGTTGTACCAGTACCAGGCCGTCTTGGCTACCGTGGCAGTATAATAGGTTCCGAAGTCAGGTAGTGTGAGGCCTCCCACTTTGTTCTTCGTCAGTAATGCTTTACTTATCTGGGACCTCTTCCCTTTCTGTATGAAGTCGGTGATTTGTTTTTCCATCTCATTAAAAAATACTATTGGAATTTGAATCAGAATTGCATTGTATCTGTAGATAACTTTGGGTAGAATAGACATTTTCACAATGTTGAGTCTTCCTATCCATGAGCAAGGTATGTTTTTCTGCTTATGTAGGTCTCTTTTGGTTTCTTGCAGTAGTGTCTTGCAGGTTTCTTTATATAGATTTTGTATGTCTCTGGTTAGACTTATTCCTAAGTATTTTATCTTCTTGAGGGCTATTGTAAACAGTATTGATTTGGTGATTTCCTCTTTTGAAGTTCTCTTCATTGGTGTAGAGAAGTCCAACTGATTTTTGTGTGTTTATCTTGTATCCTGATACTTTTCTGAAATCTTCTATTAATTCTAGTAATTTTCTTGTGGATTCTTTGAGGTTTTATGGGTATAAGATCATATCATCTGCAAATAGAGACACTTTCACTTCTTCCTTACCAGCTTGGATGCCTTTATTTCTTTTTCTCGCCTAATTGCTCTGGCTAGGATCTCCAGCACAGTATTGGATAAGAGTGGTGACAAAGGGCACAGGATAGCTCTTAAAATGTTCTTTTTGATGATGAATGCTACGGCATTCCTTTTCAATTTGCCATTCCCGGCATAGTAGACCATATGATTGTTCGATTTAGAATGGCCAATACTAGTTCATTTCAGCTCACTAATGCCTAGAATATCAATCTTTATGTGTTCCATTTCATTTTTGATGACTTCCAATTTTTCTGGATTCATACTTCTTACATTCCATGTACTGATTATTAATGGATGTTTGCAGCTGTTTCTTCTCATTTTGAGTCATGCCGCATCAGCAAATGAAGGTCCTGAAAGCTTGACTCCATCCACGTCATTAAGGTCAACTCTACTTTGAGGAGGCAGCTCTTCCCCAGTCGTATTTTGAGTGCCTTCCAACCTGAGGGGCTCATCTTCTGGCACTATATCAGACAGTATTCCGCTGCTATTCATAAGGTTTTCACTGGCCAGTTTTTTCAGAAGTAAACTGCCAGGTCCTTCTTCCTAGTCTGTCTTGGTCTGGAAGCTCAGCTGAAACCTGTCTACTATGGGTGACCCTCCTGGTATTTGAATACTGGTGGCATAGCTTCCAGCATCACAGCAACACGCAAGCCCCCACAGTACGACAAACTGACAGACACGTTGGGGAGAATGCAGATTGGTGGAGGGAATCCCACGTCTAGGAGGGAGTCTGAATGAGGTGGTGGTTAGCAGCACAGTGTCTTGGGTCAAATGGATGTGGGTTCCAGTCCAGCCCTGCTACTCACAAGCTGGGTGTCCTGGGCAAGTCTCCAAAACTCAGTTTCCCCTTTTGTTAAATGAGAATGGTAACAGCCTCTCCCTTGTAGGGTTATCGTCAGTATGGCTCAAATGTAAAGGCATAGACCAGATGTTTCTCGTTAAATGTTTTAGTAAAAAAACATTTGCTGTGGAGTTGACTCCCAAGTCGTAGCGACTCCCTGTATGTCAGGATAGAACTGTGCTCCATAGAATTTTCAATGGCTGATTTTTCCGATGTAGATCATCAGGGCTTTTTTCTGAGGCGCATCTGGGTGGACTCAAAAACTACCAACATTTTGATTAGCAGCCGACCGCATTCATTTTTGCACCACCCAGGGACTTCCATTCAGTGCGAGCTATTGTAAATTGTGCCCGATGGAACCCTTTGTCTTCCTCTGGAGGTGTTGATGCTGGTCTGTCCTCTGCCAGGTCGGGACTGCCTAGGCTGTGCCAAGACCGGCAGTGGCAAAACAGCAGCGTTCGTCCTGCCTATCTTGCAGAAGCTGTCTGAGGACCCTTATGGCATCTTCTGCCTTGTTCTGACACCCACCAGGTGAGCCCCTGGAGTGTGAGTTAACCAGCTGTGTTCTCTTCGGCAAGTGCCTGTACCTCTCTGAGCCACACTTCCCCGCACTTGAAATGGGGACAGAAACCATGCCTGCCTCTTAGGAAAGCTGCCGAAGGAAATGACATGGTGTGTGGGGAGTGCTCAGTGTGGGGCCAGGGCAGGGTGAGTGCTGGTTGGGCAGGGCTGTGCACAGTCTCATAGCCCAGGGAGTAGATGTCTGCTGGCTTCGGGAAACCCAAGGCCTCGGCAGACAAGTACAGCAATCAACGCGATAAGACAGGATAAGTCTTGTAATGGCACTGCCTGCCACGTGGGCCTGGCCCCATGGGATGTCTAAATTTGACTGGGGCGGGAGGAGGAGATGAGGAAGCCTTCATTGAGGGGTGCCGTAACAGATGAAGAATCTCTCTCAAAGGGCCAAGTGTGAGGAATAGCATCCTTGAATAGGGAACTGCCAGTGCCTGTGTGCAGTGGCATGAGGCAGGGAGCAGAAAGGGTAGTGGGCACTGGGCACATTTGAGCCAGCTCGAGAAGGACCTCAGGTGCCAGGCTTAGGGTTTAGAGTTGGCTCTGAGGGCTTGTGAGCAGGTGAGGGAAGAGTGGAAATTGGGAGGGGGGCCAAGGAAAGGAGTCCTGGTCAAGCTGGGGCTGTGGGGACAGAGAGGAGGGAACCTGGGGACTGACCAGCCCTGCTCAGGTCTCTGGCTTGGGTGACTGGGTGGCAAGACCATTGCTGAGAAGGGGATATGGAGATGGTGCAAGTTTGGGGCTCGGGGGAGGCTTAGGGGAGGGGCCATAGGATATTCAGGGGTCTCACACACTCAGCATGAGGGCATGGGGAGCCCAGAGAGTGAGTTGGGAGGCCAGGGGCTCTGTGGGGAGCTCTGGGATGGAGGTAGGAACAGTAGGCAAGGATGACCCCTCCTGACCCGCCTGGTCCCCTCACACCCACAGGGAGCTGGCCTACCAGATCGCGGAGCAGTTCCGAGTCCTGGGAAAGCCTCTGGGCTTGAAAGACTGCATCATCGTCGGCGGCATGGGTATGGGGGGCTCTGGCATAGCACCCTGAAGTTCCCGCCCCCCCAGATTCCTGCCCAACTTCCTCTTGCCCTCCACCCACAGACATGGTGGCCCAGGCGCTGGAGCTCTCTCGGAAGCCTCACGTAGTCATTGCCACGCCAGGGCGCCTGGCCGACCACCTCCGCAGCTCCAGCACCTTCAGCATCAAGAAGATCCGCTTCCTGGTGAGTCGTCCCCACCTCCCTTGGGCGTAGGGCAGCTTGGAGCCTGATAGGGGCTGGAGGGGCGGTGCCTCCCACAGGAAGTGATGCTGGGAACACTGAGACTGAGCGGGGCAGGTGGGCACGGACAGGGCCTCACCAGCTCCTGTGCAGGTGCTGGACGAGGCAGACCGCTTGCTGGAGCAGGGCTGCACAGACTTCACTGCAGACCTGGAGGCCATCCTGGGGGCAGTGCCGGCCTGCAGGCAGACGCTGCTGTTCAGCGCCACGCTGACCGACACGCTCCGCGAGCTACAGGGCCTGGCCACCAACCAGCCCTTCTTCTGGGAGGCACAGGCACCGTGAGTCCCAGCTGGTGGGGTGGGCCAGGGGTTGTTCCTTGCACAGAAGGTGAGACAGGCCTGGCACCCACCCCCACCCAGGGTCCGCACGGTGGAACAGCTGGACCAGCGCTATTTGCTCGTACCCGAGAAGGTGAAAGATGCCTACCTGGTGCACCTGATCCAGGGCTTCCAGGACGAACATGAGGACTGGTCCATCATCATTTTCACCAATACCTGCAAGTGAGTGCACCACACCCAAGCAGGTTCCAGGGCTTCGCTCAGAACGAGGCTCCGAGGTGGAGCGATTTGCTGAGGTCACCGCACTCGAAGAGTCCCTAGGTGGTACACATCATGAATGCACTTGGCTGCTAACTGAGAGGCTGGAGGTTTAAGTCCACCCAGAGGTGCCTTGGAAGAAAGGCTCGGTGACCTACTTCCGAAGGATCAGCCAGTGGAAATCCTGTGGGGCATGGTTCTACTGTAACACACGTGGGGCTACCATGAGTTGGGGTTGACGCGACAGCAACCGGTCAGTTTTTGGTTTGCTCACCCTAGATTCTGCTGCTCTGCCCTGAAACACAAGGGCTGGGCTGTCTGGGGAGCCCCCACAGCAGCTGGGAAACAGCTCAGACCAGCCACTGTTCGCTGTGGCCTGTGGGTGTCACTAAGCCTTGCTGGGCCTCCCAAGCCCATCTCAGGAGTGCTGTGATGGCTGGCTGAGACCCTGTGGGCATCAGCCCCCAACACCTAGGCCTGTCATGTTGTTACGTTGTCCCCACATCACAGGAGACCCCCCAGGAAGTTCCTGTGGGCCCTTTGCTTAGGCACTCAGGGAGTGGGAGGGATTGTCAAGAACCTGTGGGCTCTTCCTGCATGAGCCAGATAAGAGGGCAGAGGTCAGATGGGCCACGTCACTCTGGGGAGGCCTTGGTGTGGCCATAGCTCCCCTAAGGGGCGGTTCCTGAGGTGAAAGTATCAGCTCCCCAGAACTGAGAAATCTGGGTGTAGGGCAGCTGTCAGGCATGGCGGGATCCAGCAGCCTACATGCTATTACAGTCACTTCTCTCTCTGCCTTGCCTTCCTGACAGTGCCCATCTTCATCTCCCAGCCCCACAACTCCAGCAGAGAGAACTTGCATCCCAGTCAGAGCAGCAGTCTCAGAATGGCTTAGGCCTGTCTGGGAGCCGAGGGCGGGGTCAGCAGAGAGGATGCTGGGTGGGCAGGTCTGTGTGGATGGCTGACCAGAACTTTCCTTCCTGCCAGGACTTGCCAGATCCTGTGCATGATGCTGCGCAAGTTCAACTTCCCCACTGTGGCACTGCACTCGATGATGAAACAGGTGTGTTGGCGTGCCTGGCCAGGCCCACCCACTCAGCTGGTCTTTCTCCTGGAACACCCTTTTCTCTCCCAGTCCACATCTCCTGTTATCTGCTGGACCTTCATCGTAGTGTTTATCCTGGCCTGGCCTTGTGAGCCCCGTGTGGGCAGGGCTATCCTGACCCTGCCCTGACTTCACACAGGATGTGCCCACATGTTGCTGAGAAGCCTCCCTGACCCCACTGTCTCCCTGTCCTGGTGCAGAAAGAACGGTTTGCTGCCCTGGCCAAGTTCAAGTCCAGCATCTACCGGATCCTGATCGCAACGGATGTGGCATCCCGGTAAGGGGCCTGGCTCCACCTCTATCCAGGGTGCTCCGTCCCCAAGATGGTACTGGGCAAGTCCCAGCCTCCACCTCCCCCGCCTGGGTGCTGAGCTGCCAGGCCTCTCCCTCCAGGGGCCTGGACATTCCCACTGTGCAGGTGGTCATCAACCACAACACCCCCGGACTCCCCAAGATTTACATCCACCGTGTCGGCCGCACAGCCCGTGCAGGTGAGCCCCAGGCCCCACTGCTCGCTGTAACTTCACCCCTCTCCCCTTGGCTGTCATAGCTATGAGTGGGTTTCTAGCCCCAGCTGGTGTGATGCTGCCTTTCAGGATTTGGCATCCAGGTTCAGACACCCAACCCTTACTCTCTATCCTCACCCTTTGCCCCCCACCCCGGGCCCAGGAGACATTCATCTCTCTGCTCCTTAGTGGGCTGGGAAGGGGCATGGGTGTTCCAGGAGATTCTTCCACACCAGAAGCAGGGAGAGATGTGTTTTTTGGGGTCAGACGAGGCCTGGCCTTTCTCTCCTGACCCCACAGCCTCAAAGGCAGGTCACGCTGCCTCTCCGGGCCCAGTGATGGGGACTGAGAACTGCAGAGCCTCCTTGCCATGCAGTTAAGCCCCAAAAACAGCTCTTCAGTGGTCAGCACTGTTCCAGGGCTAGTGGCCGCCATAGAAATGAGGTGTAAAGAAATCAAGCACAGGGATCCAGGCTGAGGTACTCAGGGCTTATTGTTAACACAGCTTCACCTGGGCTCCCTGGTGGCCATGCCAAAAAGGAAAATTAGCATATTGGCAACCTTGTATAGGGTGGCAGACTGGGCAGCCAGGACAGCTGCAACCCTAGGACAGACTCATCCACACATGGAGGTCAGGCTAGGGGGTGAGCCCTGTCTCTAGGCTTGTTCCACTTCCCCCTTCACCTCCAAGATGCCCGGCACTGGGTCCCTGCCTTCTGCCCGCCTGTGTCCCAGTCCCAGCACACAGTGAGTGACTGGCTGTGGTGCCCCTGCAGGACGGCAGGGTATGGCCATCACGCTGGTGACACAGTATGACATCCACCTGGTCCATGCCATCGAGGAGCAGATCAGTGAGTGGGGCTGGGGGCAGGTGGGTGGTGGACTCATCACACTGGGCCTCCCTCCCTGGGCTCCTCCCACTCTGATCTCTCAGGGCTTTGCTACCACTGCACACCTGGCATGCCCCACCACACGGGGAGCTCACTCTCACTATCATGCCCCCTAGAGAAGAAGCTGGATGAGTTCTCGGTGGAAGAGGCGGAAGTGCTGCAGATCCTCACGCAGGTCAATGTGGTGCGGCGGGAATGTGAGATTGTGAGTTGGAGTTTGGGCAGGTGGGCTGGGGACTGCTCCCTCGGGGTGGGCCCCCGTGAGCAGCCTCTCCCTCCCCTAGAAACTGGAGGCGACCAGCTTTGACGAGAAGAAGGAGATCAACAAGCGGAAACAGCTGATCCTGGAGGGGAAGGTGAGGCCGCCTGGCAGGTGGGGGCCAGGGCTTCTGGGAGGGTACCTCGCTCACCACCACCTCTGGCCCCCCATGTGCAGGACCCTGACCTGGAGGCCAAGCGCAAGACTGAGTTGGCCAAGATCAGGCAGAAGAATCGGCGCTTCAAGGAGAAGGTGGAGCAGACACTACAGCGGCAGAAGGCCGGCGGGAGGCCCAGGGGGTGCCCACCCAGGGCCCAGCCAGGGTTCCACAGAGCCCTGCCCACCCAGGGCCCGGCCTGAGTCCACCACAGCCCCCATCTACCTAGGACCCACCTGGGACTCCATCGAGCCAAGGAGGGACCTGTCTGGATACCCAGAACTGTCTCCCCTGGGCACGGCTGTCCCCCGCGGCCTGCTGGTCCCCCTCACCCTGGCGGGTAGCCCATGGCTTCCGCCCTGCGTCCCCAGGCCAGTCCACAGCTCTGAGGTCAAACCAGACTCTATACGTCAGCCACCTTGGCCCAGGGTCCCCTGTGGACTTGGTTTCGCCCTTTATTATGGAGAAGGGGTTTGTGAGCCTCCAGAATGATGTGTCACATGCAGGAGGTGTTGAATAAATGCTTTTTGCCATCCCTGGTCCAACTCTCTGGGTTTGGGGACAGGGAGGAACGTGTGGTCATCTGTGTATCTCAAGTCCCCAGAATGTTCTCCCCACAGCCCACCATTCACCATTCCTGGCAGGTCATGCCCACAGCTCAGAAGACAACCAGCCAAAGCCATAGTGCTGGACATTTTCACTGCCAGGCCTCAGGCTAGTGATGCCCCCTCTCTGGGCCTCAGTTTTCTTATCCAGAAAAAGGTCCTAACAACAGTGCCACCCTCCCAGCACCGCTGTGAGGTTTCAGGGAGGTCACCCCGAGGAAAACCAGTGCTGTGTTCTAGCAGCTTCTGTGCATGCCAACCTGACGCATCTGGGGTTGTGGCATGTCCTGTGAGTACCCGCCTATTCTCCAGGCAAGAAGACTACGTCTACGCTAAGAAAGCCATTCCCTCAGCCTGGACTTGGCAGAGACTGTGATCAAGGCCAAACTGGGTCCTGACAGATGAGGGCTGAGCCCAAGGGGATAGGGCTGCAGTGCTGGGCAGAGCTGGCCACCTGGTTGTGGTGGGGGGGTCCCCTGAGCCTTGCTCTCCTTGGCTACAGGGGGGCTGGCTGAGGCACTATACGACGCAGGGTCACAAAGTATACTATGGGGAGGCAGGGAGAAGGGCGGCGACTGGTTAGGTTCCCACACATTACACACACTTGCAGCCACACTTGGAAGTGTAATCTGGGTGCTAGCACACACCCCAGGATTCTAGAAACTACAGTGAAAAGCTCAAAAAACACCTCCGAGCTGGGAGAGGCCAGGGCCAAGCTGGGCCCCCAGTTCCTGCCAAGGCAATTGGGCCCTGACTCTGCTGCCTGTGGCCTGGACCACACCCCAAAAATCGTCCCATACAGAACCAGCTCTGCTGGCCACCGGCAGCTGGCTCATGGCGTGCCCTCGGCCAGGCGGGCCAGGCCTTCACGCAGCTCGCTCAGCTCAAACAGTTTGACATCCAGCAGCTGTGTGGCCCGCACCACCTCAGCCCGTGCCCGCTCCCGCTCGGCCCGCGCCTCCTCCAGGCTGTGCTCTGACACTCGCAGCTGATGCTCCAGCTCTGCATTCCGTGTCTCCAGGTCCTGTGGGGAGAAGGTGGCAGTGGGGCCATGACCCTTATCCCTATGGCCCCTTCCCCTTGCCTTTGCTCCTCCTGATTCCACCTCCATGGCCCTCTGGTTTCTGGAACACGCCAACTTCTGTCCACCCCGGGGCCTTTGCACGTGCTGTTCTCTCTGCCCAGGAGACAAAAGGCAGCATTTCCTCAACTTTTCTCTCCTAGGTCTCTTTGGGGGACACCAAACCCTTTACTATTTCCAAGTGCTAGGCTCACAGATGTGTTCCCTGAACATTTCTTGGATGAAGGCTTGGGCGAAAGCCAAGCCAGCCAGTTGTTAGCTGTGTCAGGTCAGCCCCTGACTCATGGTGACCCCTTGTGTGCAGAGTAGAACTGCCTCATAGGGTTTTCAATGACTAATATTTATGGAAGGAGCCCTGGTGGCACAGTGGTTAAAGCACTCAGCTGCTAACTGAAAGCTTGGTGGTTTGAACCCATCAGCCACTCTGAGGGAGAAAGACTTGACAATCTGCTTCCATAAAGGTCACAGCCTTGGAAACCCTATGGGGCAGTTCTGTTTTGTCCTATAGGGTCTCTATGAGTCGGAATTGATTCGACAGCAGTGGAGTTTAATCTTTATGGAAGCAGACTGTCAGGCCTTTTCTTCTGTGACACTGCTTTGTTCGAATCTCTAAGTTTTGGGTTAGTAGTTGAGCATAAACTACTTGGGCCACCCAAGCTCCTCAGGCCAGCCAGACCTGGGTGCAAACGTAGGCTCCGTGCCCTCAGGCTGGGGACTGCGAGGATTTGATGGGGTCGCCCATCCACTTCCACCTGACGTGCCCCACACACCTGCACCTTCTGCTGCGTCTCCTCGCGCTCGGCAGCGTCTGGGGTCTCCCGGGGCCCCACAGTCTGGCTCTTCAGTGTCTGGATCTCCTGGAAGGAAGGGGTCACTGGGTTGGCTCCAGGGTCCTGGCTCCCCCGAGGGAGCTCAGGAAAGCCGAGGCCAGGAGACACTCACCTGGTCCTTGGTTTGCACTAATGCCTCCAACTGCTCCAGTGACTGCCTGGGCTCCTCACCCACCGCGGGCTGCTCTGCGGCTACCTGGGCCTCCAGCTCAGCCACCTGTGCAGACAGGAGCTGAGCCCCCAAAGCTCAGGACACCCCAGCTGGCACTCTCCCACCTCCCCTGACCCCTGGGGCATCCTCTTCCTGCTTGCCCCTATGGTTGGGGCCACCATCCCCCACCTCTGGGCGCTCAGACTGTGGGGTCTGACCACCCTCTTGGTGGGTGTTGTCTCAGACTCAACAGAGCAAGAAACTGAGGCTCAAGGAGGTGACCTGCCGAGCCCAGACGGTCAGCTGGTGAACCCAGCACAGAGGGTGCCCAGAGGCAGGGGATTCACAGGTCCCCGGGACAGGAGGGGACTCTGGGAGGGTCAGGGCCCTTACCCGCTGCCGCAGCCGCTCGGCCTCCACGCGCTGGGCTTCCAGCTGCTGCCTCCACTGTGCCGCCGCCGCGTTTGCTTCTCGCAGGGCGCCTGCCAGCTTGTTGTTGCTGTCCTGCAGCGCAAAGAACTCGGCCTCCCACTGAACCTCGCCCACCGAGCTGCGGGAATGCGGGATGGGGTCGGCGGGGCCGGGGCGGTGCTGGGCTAAGGGCAAGGCTAGGGGAAGGATTCCAGGGGAAGCTGGACTGCAGACAGGGGTCAAGACCGGGTCTGACGCGGGGGTCGGGTAGGATGAGGCTAGGGGCAGGGCCAGGGCGGTGAGGTGCTGAGGTCAGGGGCGGGGACGCCCCTGAGGGGCGTGGTCTTGTTGGGGGCAGGGACATCCCATGGGGACGTGGTCAGAACCGGGGTAAGGAGGGGCCAAGAGGTTCAGCCCAGGTAGGCGTGGATGGGACAGGGCGGGGTTAGCCACGAGGAGTGGCTGAGACAGGGAGGGGTCATCAGGGGGTGGGTCACAGTACAAGATAGTCGGATGTAGGGACGGATTCCGTGAGAGGAGCACGGTCAGCCTCCTTCCTCTACCCAGGCCTTGGGTTGCATTCAAGTCCTGCCGCCTGCTGCGCTCTCAGTAACCTGGAACCCGCCACGCCCCACTCCCCACCTCCGGCAACGCCCTCTGTCTGCCCTCTAGTCTCTCCCCTTCACTCTGCCCATGCCCCGGCCCTTCTCCTAGCCCCACCCTCCGCGCCCAATGTCTTCCTTTAGCCCCACCCCCCACCTGGCCCTGCCTTCTGTGCAATACCAGCCCTCTAGCTCCGCCCCTTCTCCAGGCCCCGCCCACTCCCCCCCCTCACCCCTCGGACAGCATCTTCTTGAGCCGCTCGCGCTCCGCAGGGCCAGGGGCGTCCGCGCTCTGGCTGCGGAACAGCTTTTCGTCGCTGGGGGGGCCGTTGGCGCTGACAAGGGGGCTTGGAGGCACCTGCGGGAGGGGGCGGGGTCACGGTGTAAAGTAGCTTCACGCTGATCAAGGCCGGGTTAGAGGGGTCATGGTTGGGATCAGGGCCACGTCACTGGGGTCGTGACTGAGGTCAGAAGGCTTGAATTGAAGTGTGGAAACCTGTGGACCCCAGCCAGTCCTCCCCAGTCTTGGGGTCCGACCGCCTCCCTCCTTTCCTACCCCCTGGGCCTGAGTCTCGGGCCCTGTCCGCCTCACCAGCCTGGGCTCTCAGCAAAGACCAGGAGACAAACCTGAGGCAGTCTAGTCTAAGCCCGCTGAAATGGTCTCAGTTTGCAAAGGGGGAGCAGTCTGAAACCACCATGCTGTTCCCTCCTAGTGATGCCCTTCCCTGTGGCCGAAGTCCACATCCCATTGTAGACCCCTAGGAAGTCCCCCCCACCCCCCAGGCTGAATCTGCTCTTGACTGGCCCACCTTGCTCCCAGATCACAAGCTCCCTGAGGACAGGGGCCAGCCTGCATTGTCACCCTGCACCCCTGGTACCCAGCCCTGGTACACAGTAGGTGCTCGATAATTGAATGGGGAGAAATCTCAAGGCACAGTTCATGGCTCTGGACCCTCCTTAGCCTTTTCAACTTTCGGTCTGCAATTCTGTTTAACAACTTGAGCACCCAGGGACACAGCCACCCTCTGAGCTAGTTTCTGTCACTCATGCCTACTTCGTGCCCTTCTTGAACCCAGGCCAGGTTAGACCCCCGGATGGCACACTCCCGGGATGCCCATTCCCCCCTCTGATCCCTGCCATGCCTCTAGTTTTATATCATCTGTGCGTATTGGGTCTTGAGCACTGCTGAGTCTCACGCACCTAGTGCAGTGTTCCGACCCCCTAATACAGCTTGGCTGGCTCGGGGCATTTGGGCAGGGTGGGGGGTACTGACCTGGTGGGAGGCAAGCCCCAGGGCTGGGCTTGTGAGCTCCCCCCCATCCTGAGACTTCTCCCGGGCAAGCCTTGCTGCTTCCTTCACTTCCTGGAACTTCTCGGCAAACTAGGGATGGGGGTGGGGAAGACAGAGAATCAGTCAAGAAACCCTCAGTCGCCTCCCTCACCAGTCGCCTTCCTCACCGGCTGACCCATCAGGTCACCCCCGCGCAGAGTCAGTTCCATTACCTCGAGTGGATCTTAGCAACCGTGCCCAACCCCTCATCTGTGAACTGGAAGTGGAGAGACGGCTTGGAAAAAGATGCCACAAAAAGCAGGGTGGGGATCATGGCAAATGTTTATAGGGGTGGTATTAAATACATCAAGCCACATCGAGAGGGGTTTGCTTTTCCTATCAATCAGACTTATTTCTTTCTTCTTTTTTTAAAATTGTGCTTTAGGTGAAGGTTTACAGAGTAAATTAGTTTCTCATTAAACAATTAATACAGATATCATTTTGTGACATTGGTTGTCGACCCCACGACGTGTCAACACTCTCGCCTTCTTGACCTTGGGTTCCCAATTTCCATTCATCCAGCTTTCCTGTCTTCTCCTGCCTTCTTGCCCTTGCCCCTGGGCTGGTGTGCCCATCTAGTCTTGTATCCATGGTTGAGCTTTGTGTATTATTGTTTGTGTTATAGGCCTGTCAAATCTTTGGCTGAAGGGTGAGCCTCAGAAGTGACTTTAGTACTGAGTTAAAAGGGTGTCCGAAGGTCATATTCTTGGGGTTTCTCCAGTCTCCGTCAGACCAGTAAGTCTGGTCTTTTTTTGTGAGTTTGACTTTTGTTGTACATTTTTGTCCACCTCTATCCAGGAGCCCTGGTGGCGCAGTGGTTAAGAGCTTGGTTGCCAACCAAAAGGCCGGTAGTTCGAATCTACCAGCCATGCCTTGGAAACCCTATGGGGCAGTTCTACTCTGTCCTATAGAGTCGCTATGAGTTGGAATGGGACTTGACGGCAACGGGTTTGGTTTTTTGATCTTTTGGTTTGTCCAGGACTGTCTATTATGATCCCTGTCAGAGCAGTCGGTGGTGTAGCCGGGCACTATCTAGTTGTGCTGGACTCAGTCTGGTGGAGGCCATGGTAGATGTGGTCCATTAGTCCTTTGGACTAATCTTTCCCTTGTGTCTTTGGTTTTCTTCATTCTCCCTTGCTCCAGACGAAGTGGGATGAGTGGAGTATTAGATGGCCACTCACAAGCTTATAAGACCCCAGATGCTACTCACCAAAGTAGGATATAGAACATTGTCCTTATAAACTGTGTTATGCCAATTGAGTTAGATGTCCCCCGAGATCACTCAGGCTTATTTCAATAAGGAGAGCCTCAGTTTGATGCTAATTTGTCTTTAACGCCTGGGACACTCGTTAATATCCCTTTATAACACAAAGGAAGTCCCTGGGTGGTGCAATTGGTTAATGAGCTCAGCTGCTAACCGAAAAGTTGGAGGTTCGAGTCCACCCAGAGGCTCCGTGAAAGAAAGGCCTGGCAATCTACTTCCAAAAAATCAGCCACTGAAAACCCTATGGACCACAGTTATACCCTGACACACATGAGGTCTCCATGGATCAGAATCAACTTGATGGCAACAAACAATAACAAAGAGGGAGTCCCTGGATGGTACAAAAGGTGAACGTGCTTGGCTGCTAACCTAAAGGGTGGAGGTCTAAGTCCACTCAGAGGCACCTCAGAAGAAAGATCTGGTGATCTAATTCTGAAACATCAGCCACTGAGAAACCTATGGAGCACAGGTCTACTCTGACACACATGGAGTCACCGTGAGTCAGAATACACTCGATGATCAGCAGTTTATAACAAAGAGAGAGCAGGCCTGAGGCTCCCTCTAGTCTTCCTTGTACTAATGGATGCTAATTTAATATACAAAAGGAGAAGAGACACAGACACAGAGGGAAGACAGCCATGTGAAGATGGAAGCAGAGATTGCACTGATGATGCGTCTACAAGCCAAGGAACTCCAAGAATCCCTGGGAACCACCAGAAGCTAAAAGAGACAAGGAAGGAGCCTCCCCTGGAGCTTTCAGAGAGAGCACAGTCCTGTTGACACCTTGAATTTGGACTCCCAGCCTCCAGAACTGTGAGATAATAAATAAGTTTTAAACCACCCAATTTGTGAGACAGTTACAGCAGCCCTATGAAGCTAATACAGGTAGGATATACGTTTTAAAATAAATCTCCTTAGGTCTGATGCCCCATCACACCATTTTTACAATTAGGTTAATAAATTTCATAATAAATTCCCTTAGGTTAAAAATAATTGTTTAAAGAAAATATTAGCAAAGGTACCCGTGGGGGAAAATTGTCTTCTCAAAAATAGGCCCAAGATCAAAGTGAATATTCACGTGGGGAGAAAAAAGGAACCTCAACGCCTACCTCACACCACCCACAGAAATTAATCCAAGCTTCAATTTGAAAGGAGTTCCAGGGTGGTCCAAATGGTTAACTGCTCGAATGCTAACGGCAAGGTTGGTGTTTGGGTCCACCAAGAGGTGCGTCTGAAGAAAGGCCTGGCAATCTACTTCTGAAAACTCAGCCACTGAAAACCCAGTGGAGCACAGTTCTATTCTCACACGCATGGGGTTGCAGTGAGATGGGGTGGACTCTGCTGCAACTGGTTTTTAAAGTGGAAAGGAAAACAACAAAGCTTCCAGAAGAAAACAAGTGGGAAAATCTTCCAGACCTCAAGCAGGACAAGAAAGCACCAAGAATCTAAGGAAACAAGGAGCAAAGACAAAATTGAACTACAGACACAGGAGGGAGTGGAGTGAGGCCATGAGGAACTAGCACCCAGCCCATTCGGTGCACCCATTTGCTAGATGGGGTCCAGAGAGGGGCAGGGTGAGTCCACAATCGGAGCAAGTGGGCAACAGAGCTGGGACTTCAACCAGGGAAGCTGAAAGGCGTTCAAAACAACCAAAACCGAAGAGAGTGCTTCTTAGCCCAAGTAGATACATGAGACTAAATGGGCAGCTCCTGTCCGGAGGTGAGATGAGAAGGCAGAGAGTCAGGAGCTGGTTGAATGGACGCAGGAAATCCGGGATGGAAAGGAGGAGTGTGCTGTCACATCACAGGGAGAGCAATTAGGGTCACGTAACAACGTGTGTACAAATTTTTGTATGAGAAACTAACTTGAACTGTAAACTTTCACTTAAAGCACAATAAAAAAAAAAAAAACAACAACAAAAAACACCAAAACCTACTGCTGTAGAGTCAATTCTGACTCAGGCAACCCTATGAAGGACAGAGCAGAACTGCTCTATAGGGTCTATTTGGGTGTAATCTTTACAGAAGCAGATTGCCAGGCCTTTTTTCCAAGGCACCACTGGGTGGGTTCAAACTGCCAACCTTCAGATTAGTGGTGGTGGTGTTGTGTGCTGCCAGTTGATTCTGACTCATAGTGACCCTATAGGAGAGAGTAGAACTGCCCCATAGGGTTTCCTAAGGTGAAATCTTTACGGGAGCAGATCGCCAGGTCTTTCTCCCAAAGAGCTGCTGGTGGGTTCAAACCGCTGACCTTTCAGTTAGCAGCCAAGTGCTTAACCACTGCAACACCAGGGCTAGCCAGGCGCAAACCAACTGCACTACACAGGGATCTGGAAGGTATTCAGGCTGGTCCAATTCCAAATGCCCATTGGGAACTGTCCCAAGTTCCCACTTCATCCAGGAGAGGCCCCAGGCTCAGCCTGTCCTCCCAGGCCCTCCCCGCAGGCCTACCTGGGTCAGATGCTGCTCAGAGGCAAAGCCAAGGCCATAGACTGTATTGGCACGACTGTCTGCCCATTGCCCGAACTTCTGGGAAGTTTTGGTGAAGGTCATGTTGGGGGTGACGGTGCTGTTGATGATGGCCTGGGGGGCAAAGTTCAAGGGGCCAATAATAACGATCATGAAACTCTCTGAGCATCACTTTGGAAGAGGGCTCAGAGGCCTTGCTCTGAGCTATTTCAGGAGGGGAGACTTTGGCCCAGGAAGGTGCAGGCCACCCCCGGCTAGGGGCACACAGCAGGGACCCCAGGCGCTCTCCGCCTCCAGGCCCCACCGCACCTTGGCGCCCCCGATGCTGATGATGCGGTAGACATTGCGGGTGGTATCGTAGAAGTATGAGACGGTGAGGGCGTGCTTGCCCGCGGGGATCCAGTTCCGCTTGGTGGCCGGGTCAATCTGGAATACGTGAGCTCGTGTGCTGAAGATGGGCTGCTCCCTGGGGGAAGAGGGCATTCAGCGGGCGTGGAGCTGCACAGGGGTAAGGCTGGGGATCGAAGCAGAGGAGGTGCTCACCTGGTTGTGGACATTGGTCAAGCTGGGCTGAGCAGGCTCCAAGGGGCGGCCAGAGAGGGGGCAGGAGCTGCTGGTTCAAAGGGTTAAGTACTGGACTACTAACTGAAAGATTGGCAGTTCGAACCTACCTAGAGGTGCCTCAGAAATAAGGTCTGGCTATCTACTTCCAAGAGGTCACAGCCTTGAAAACCCTATGGAGCACAGTTCTACTCTGCACACATGGGTCCCCATGAGTCAGAATCCACTCAACGGCTGCTAACAGCAACCACAATCCCATCTCAGGGAACCCCCACATCATGTGGGACAGGAGACCGCTCTCTAGGGGAAGTCGGATGCAGTGGAGCCTGAGGGGCCTGGAGAGCCAGCAGGTCTCTGCTCAGCATCCCTGGCATTGCAGCGTGAACCCCCCACCATCCTGGTCATTTGAGACATCTGGTGAGCCCCCACAATCTCAGGCTAAGGGGATATTACTTTCTACCAGATCCACCTCAAACCAGGGTGTCCCAGCAAAAAGTGGGTGGGCCATGCCCAGGTGCCAACTGGGAGGCCAGACCCTATTGGACCCACGAGGAAGCCCAGGTCTGAACCTGGGGCAGAGGTGCCCCTAGGAGTCCTAGTCCAAATCCCCAGAGAGACCCCAGCATGGTTAGAAGGACAAGATGTAGCCACACAGGTCCACCCTAAGGGCAGGGTGGACTCCAAATAGGACGGACTGGGCTCCCCAGCCACTCCGTAGGTTCCTCTCGTCGCCACCCTACAGAAGCCAGGACCAGCTGCCTGGAAGGAGACCTCCTGACTCCCCGCCTGCACATCCAAACTTGCAACCAGGGGGTCTATGGGCACCTAGGAGAAGCCATTATAGGGAGTTAAGGGAGGAGGGGAGCCCGGCCCAGTGGCCTCTGTGGTGAGGGGGGTGCCCCCCCCCACCCCCATCATGGGCAGCTGCTGTCCCGGTCACAGGTCTGAAACCCGAGTCCCTGGGCTGGGGGAGGGGCGGCCGCTCTAGCCGGGGCTGGGGGCGGGTCTAGGGCCGGGCCAAGGTAGGGAAACGCTGGGGTCCTCTGAACTCAGGCGCCGCCGGCCCGGCAGCTCTTGCCATGACTTGCCGCGTTCGGGCAAAGTTACTCACCTCCTAGTCATGCACCTAGGACCCCACCCGCCTGCCGCGGGGCTCCCTGAGGGGCCTGACCCTGCCTGGTGACCGGGGATCCTCAATACCTCCGGAGGAGAGGCCCCACCCTGTGCGCCCCTGCCGAGCGGGCCTGGTATTCAGCTAGGATCGGGGTCCCCACTCCCGCCAGGAGCCGGGCACCCAGTGTGAGTCCTAACTTCAGAATGCTCCGACCCTGGAACTTCGGGGATCCCGCGACAACCCGCTATTCCGAGTTCGGAACTTCGGAGACCTCCACCAGTCCGTGACCCAGAGTCCGGAACTTCAGGGACCCCGCGTCGCCTCCCAATTTCGAGTCCGGAACTTAGGGGACCACGGCGTTGCACCCCTCCATCCGGGTCCGGAATTTCGCAGCCCCCTTCGCCACTCCTCGACCTCGAACTTTGGGGACACCCCGCGCCGCTCCCGACCCAGAAGCTTCAGGGTCTCTTGTCCTCACCCCGTTCGGTCTCGCGGGGCTCACCCTGCCAGGTCGGCCGCGAGTATCCGGGCGCTAGTCGGGTGCGGCCCGGCGGCAC